AGCGCGGTCGATGCTAATAATAAAAACACACACACACACACACACACACACAACCATAAACTTCTGACGACGACGGCTATTAACAACAATGCATAGGTCCACCCTACCCTATTCACGCGCTTCCGGCGACTCTGAACGAATACGCCCGCTACCTCTTTTCTTGCGAGAGATGGATTTATCTGAACTGCCGCCACGCAACGAAGACATTAAGCCTGACGACCGACAGCACTGATGCTGACTACGCACCACCGTAGCCGCCGTCCCAACCGTGTTTATGTTGTCGATGCCATCACTGCTGGCATCTTTGCTGCAATTGCTTCCGCTAATTGCTGCACTCTCGGACTGGGTCACCCCGCCATACGTTCGCGGCGGCTGCCCCGGCAGCTGCTCCTTTTCTTCGCCTAGCATCACAGATTGCCTACGCTCCGCCGCCGGCGAAGAGAGCGATCGGCAGTGTGGAGTATGGCAGCGTTGGAGCAGCCGTCCTTGCTCTGGCTTCACCTTGCCGCACGAGGCCGCACCGCCTCGGGGCTCAGGGGATGAGGACGGGGACCCAGACCCATCCCCCCAGCCGCCCGATTCTCCTTTCGCTCGTCGTAGCAACGCCTCGATATGGACGAGAGGAAAGGGGTGAGTCAGGCCATTCACCGCTCCTGCCGGCAACCAACGCCGCCGCCCTTATACCGGTTTCCGGCGGTTATTGGATCTGTTCCACGTTCTCCTTGTGTACCGAGCCGTGCGTGCCCGATTGCAACCCTACCGCTTAGGGGCGGGGAATCGCGAAGGCTTCTGTTTCGCCCGCTCTCAGTCGCTTTCTTCGTCCTCAACCTCACGGTTGCGTGCATTGCATGTTCAGGGAGATGCGCATTGGAATTTCACTCTTGAAGCAGATTCTGCTGCTGGAGCTCCTGATTCTGCTTCTCCCGTTGCTCCTGCCGCTCCTGTCGAATTGTGTTCATCGCCGTTAACCTTGGCAAGCCGAACAGAGCGTCGCTGCTTCGGCTTCGCCTCGAGCTCGAAGGCAAACCCCCTGCGCTCGAGAGGTTCGTGTCAAGCCCACTGCGAAATGGGCGGGCGTTATCCTCGCGTTCCGGGGCGGGCCTATTCCCATTGACCGCCGGTACGGGTTTCAATGATTGTACCACTGGTGTGTCGTTATCATCGTTTTCAACAGATACCGCACTTAGAAAACCGACCTCCGCGGAAGACAGGGAAAACTTTCCATCTCTCTGGGGAGATTCATCGACCGCTGCTCTTGTCCCACGCTGTATTTCGTCCAGTCCTTCGGGCGTTCCTGATGATACTCATCGCGTCGCGAGAGTCTGCGGCCGGTGTCGCACTTCGGTCTGCAGCAGCATTCAGAGGAAGAAGACGAGCAGAGAAGAAGCTGTCCCCTCTCTTGGGCATTCCCTTGGCGGCAGGTACGGGCTCGCGGTTTACGTCTGGCTGCCCCAGCGGGTTCTCTTCGGCCATCATGGATCGTCCGACCGATTGCTTGGCGTCCGAGCACAGTTCAGATGCTGGGACGGTGGGGTCGATGAAAGCAAGGGACGCGGCCGGACCTCTCTCGGACGTGTGTTCGACAAGCCCATCCTCCAGGTCCAACCCTATTGCAATGTCGGCCTTCGTTTCTGCCGGTTCCGCTACGGCGTTGATAGCGGCGCCAGGGCCGGATAAAGACGGGACTCTAAGGGAGGCGGTGGGGGTGGTGGTGGAACTTGAACCAACGCCAAAACGTTTCTCCGTCGATTCTTCCACGCAGACTACCGTTGTCGTAGCCGGGGGCGCCACTTGGGCGGGGAACTCATCGGTCTCGGCAGCAATTACCTCATCACAGCGCGCCGGAGGGGTCGGTACGAGCGACAGCGCTCCTCTTGGTTGAACACTGGCGACGCTGAGCTGTGTCGAAGACGATGAAAGTTCTACCTCGCCGGATTGTAGGTCGATGTGGATGTCGTCTTTTCCCAGGTTGCTGAGCGCTTGGCAAACAATGGCGAGCTGCTCCTGAGTCTCTGCTAGTTGCTCGTCCGCCCTGGTGGGGTCATAACCAGAACGGATGAATCGTGAAAATGCTTGTGCAAGTGCGAGGGACAACCTCAGGAAAACGATGTCAAAAAAGAAGATTCCGAAAACGGACGTGAAGCTCTCAGGAAAGCGTTGCCTTGCCCATATAGGATGCTTCGCAATATTAGCGATACAGAGCACCTGCACGTATACTGATATCCAAAAAGGTTCAAAATGAATCACGCTTGCATCTTTCAACTCCAAAGAAGGAGGAATGTTGCTAAGAAGATTCGAAGCTAGTCTCGCCCTGCCACCAAACCGACACCATCATTGATTGCAAAAAATCTCCAACGCCGACTCCAACAAGCCTATGCTCGCTTCGCTTACTCCGCGTTATCTTTGCTTCACTCCGATCCAATTCACTCCACTCCTACTGCGATCCGTTTCACTTCCTTTAGATACTGGGAAGGAGTGGGAGGAGTCAGTCTGGTCGCAAGGTCGCACCTTATCTTGGCGTCTTCGGCGTTCTTGGCTCTCTTCCATCGGCAGAAATAATTTGCGGGAAAGAGCCCAGAACCCACAACAGACGAAAACATCGGAGCAGTTGAAAAAACGGTGTTGAAATCCGACCGCATGAATGAATTGTTCGCTTAATCGGGCACGGTCCAGAGTCACAGCAACCATGCTTGGGAAACAGCAACAAATGATGTTCTCAACAACCCGGGAAGATCTCCCCCGAATGTTCGCATTTCTGAGTCAACTGTTTCGCATTTGTACGCCGTTGTACTGCAATGTTTGCGTTCGTTTGAGCCGTGTCGCATTCGTTCGACGTTCTACTGTATTCCTGGCCGGCGGGGTGAAGCAGCATGGTAGCTGCAAAAGTTGAGGCACGGCAAAAAAGTGTACCCAGTGAAAGACAAGTTAGGTTGGGGCGGTTACTGTCGTTTCCTCCGTCGGATCAAACTACCTGACAAATCGCCTCAAAGAGGCCTTGTTGTTCATCGTCGTCGTTTCGGAGCCGTTCAGATTCCGCCTAGAAGCCGGCGCATGATCACGCCAAGCACGGGGGAAGGAGAAACGCATAGACTTCTGCCGTTAGTTATCCGTAGCGCATGAAGGAAACATCGGAGGTGACGTTGCGCGAATTCGTCGGAATCGCCTATCTACTCTTCTGTCGTTGTCAGGATGGACTCTCGGGAAAGCTGCTTGCCTACAGATCCCAACGTTGGTCACGTGTTAATGATACGGTTCATCAGCTTCAGCGGTTGCATAAGGGTCAGCATTGGCCTGTTTACGGCCACCCCACTTTGGACTCACATTCGTGCGAAACAATAGATAGGACGAAAACACAAACACAACCAAAGGCAGAGATTAATTTCAAGAAGATTTTTAGCGAAAACTCGCAACTCGGTATTTCTGCAACGGAAGCACTTTGAGCAAAGGACGATGGTTCGGATCGGGGCAATTGGGGCATCGGGTTTCCTTCCCATCGTTTGATGTGATACGCTGCATCTGACTATCTGGCAAGCGAAACCTTCAGTGGTGGTTCTGATGATGCGGCGCAACGCGTCGGACACGACCACTACCACCACCATCGTTGTCACCAGTTGTTCTCGAGCATCGCCGAGGTCTTCGTCGAGGATGTCCACGGTGAGCTCGTACCGCCTAGTATTGATCATTCGCCGGTAAGCTTGCTCGTGCTGGACGTAGAGCTGGTCTTCAGCTTCCTTTTCAAACCGTTCTTTCTCCCTGAATTTACTGAGAACAATGAACGGCCAAGAGTGATGGTATCAGTGTTTTCCCACCCTCACAACAGAGGGAGAAAACGGATGACATAGGAAAGAGCACTCGATTGATAATTTGCCATCGTTGAATCAAGTCTTGGTGTCATCTGTTCCGACCGGGTTTCTTGAGACTTGCGCCAACCGTTGTGTGAGACGGTCTCAGTCCTCAAGTGCCGATGAGAAGACGTTCTCTGGGCTCTATTTCAGTATCCTTTCTCGCGCTCCTGCTCGCGTTTCCCCAACACGACGGAATTTTGCCAAGGCCCGCAGGACGTTAGACACTGCCACGCGCAAACGTTCGCTTTCCCGTAGAACGGTTTCTCTCCTTCTGTAATGAGCGGTGTATGGCCTCCCGCCTGTCGAATACAACTCACACCTTAGAAGCGCATCTCTTTGGGCGAGAAGTCCGAGAACAGACCCTCCTCCGCCACCTGTGTAAGCACCCTCCTCCTCGTTTTCACCGTGTTCGCTGTCACCGGAGAGCAATACTCGATCGAAATCACCGTCATCCTGGCCGTGAACGTCACCCTCGGGAGCTGCGGAGGCTGCGTCGGCCGTTGACGACCTCCACGTGGACTCCTCCAGCAGAGCACGCAGGGCAGCCTTGCACGATTAGACGGCCGCAGTGGAAGCAATGAAGGGACCAAAGAACGGTTGTCAGTCATCATATTCCCGAGAATGTGCTTCCGCTGGAGACAGTTGTTGAGATCATTTACTACCAAATGGTCGAATAGTCGTCGACAACTTTAGGACAACCATCATACGACCCACAACACATGTACGCAGTATTTGCACATACCGCTATCGCTGTCGTGCGCATGTTTCCTGCAAAGCCACGCAAGACGCACAGCGGGTCCGCCGTATCAATAGCCGCTCGTATACCACCAATTCGCCAACAATGGGTATCTTGTAGTTTTCAGGCCGAGACGTGCGTGACCCCGCTGGTGCCAGGCTTTCGTAGCATTCTTGACCCCGAATATCCCGCCACCTGCCTACCACGTGTGCCCGGCCTCGTCCCATCATAATCTAGGCTTCTGTAGGGGGGGCCGACCATCTGAATGCGACTAACCCGTACCCTACCACGGTCACCTGAGGGCCGTGGTCGTTGGCTTCTTCGAGCTCTCTGGCCAGCTCGTTAACCCGCTCGTTGGCCTCGCGTTTGGCCTCCGACTCCCTTGCTTGCGCCAAGGCGCACCTTGCCTCTAACTCTTCCGCCTCTTCAAGGGCCGTGGCCAGGGCGGCCTCCGCGTTTGCGGCTCTTCTTACCGCCGTTGCCGCTGCCGTTGTCGCTGCCGATTCTGCGGTTGTGGCTCCTGCCTTTGGTTCTGCTGCCTGTGTTGCTGCATCCACACGTTCTGGTTTCGGTGTTGCTACTTCTGCGAAATCCGTGCGGGGTTGTGGAAGACCACCAGTGGAAAATAATTACTTCGTCAGGAAAGAACAATGACATAAATTTTGTTGTTGTCTTCACAAAAAAAAACGTTCTGATCTCTATATCCGGTACCTCCCTCTGTTCGTGCTGATCCAACACTTGACCCTGTCGATTCCTGGAGACGGTTGGGGATCAAGAAAATTGATGTTATTGGCTCTCTTTGCCTCCACGTTCATCTAGCTAGATTCTAACCATCATCAGCTTCTGTGTCAGGTGGCCGCGGCGTCGCTGGCGGTGTTGGTGCATCATCCCCTTTCGCCCGGTGGACAGCTTCGTCGGCCTCTTTCAGCTGCCGCTCCAAGTCCACCACGCGACCTTCAAGCTTCAGTTTTTCCTCGAGAAGAACCGCCAGAGAAGCCTGGACCACTCGGGGGGGGGAAAGTGTCGTGTCAGATAATTGTTGGTGATGCTGAACCAAGCTCCTTCATTTTCGCGCTCTGGTTGTGTGGCCAAACGAATGTCGCTTTGCATGTCGCTAAACTAATTTCATTGCAACACACGCCAACGAAACGAGAACGCGTTGGAAATATTGTCACAACTAAGATGGCTATAAAAATGCAGTAACCTTCAAAATATTTCGTTGACAGAAACCCTCCCCATCGCCGGCGCACCTGTACCCCGTTCTCTTCGTCTTCCTCTCCTACGCCAACCCGAAGCCCTTCCAACCTAACCTTCAGCCGTTGTCGGTCCCACAAGGCCACCGCTGGCGGTGTTGGGGAAGCCGTTTCTAACAGCTCGGGGTTCAAGCACTCCACTCGCTTCAGCTCCGATGTTACCGCTTGGAGTTCAGCCTCCGTGGTGTCTACTGCGTCGCGAGCTTCGAGTAACCGAGCCTCTAGGCTGATTATCTTTGCCTGGTCCTCGGTCTTCTCGTGTAGCAAGCACTCGAGAGCGGCCTGGGGGGGTGGGGGACAAGTAATTCATCCATTGCTGCTTTTCTATGGGGGCGGTCGCGCGCAAGATCGAGATGTTGTTCGTGCCGAAGGCATCCGAAACGGCCCGCGATACGGCCTCGCGTGAGTTTCGGGTGTTGACTTCCACAAGGCAACCCGAATCAAGGGTCTCGTCGATGGTTGATATTGTATGAGGGTATTGTTTAACGTCTCTCTTGTGTATCTCTTGTTGGGTTCGGTGTCCTTTGGTGGCAAGATTGTACAATGTCCATTCGGCCACATCCGTGTGCTTAGGAACGGACTGGCGACTGGTGTGTTGTGGATGACGGTTCCATCCCAGAAAAACGCAACGCCTTTCGGGTGGAAGTACAATATGACGACTAACGAAGGAATATCAACAAGAGCCGGACCACTAGATTCGTGGAGAGGCGTCCAACCTGTTGCGACTAGAAGCGAACAACAAAAATCAATGTGCAAAGGTGACCGATCAACCTACCTGTCCTCCCCCCTCTAGCTCTTCGTCTTCAACCGCCAGCCTCAGGCTCTGCAGCCTCAGCTCCGTGCGCTCCCGGAACGAGTCGTGCGCCCGCTGGGACGCCTCCATCGCCGCTTCCAGCTCCGACACCCTCCTCCTCGATGCGGCTGTCTCGTCTCTCGCCGTCACCTCGCTCGCCCGGGCCCGCCCAACTCCCCTTTCCAAGCGCCTGTTCAAGTCGTCGTCTTGCGCTGTCGCCTCCCTCTCTTGTCGGTGGGAAGAGTACTCGGTGGTTGCACTGGTGATGGCTTCCTCCGAGTGGGGCGTGGCACGCCCTGTTTCTTGGAAGGAAAGCTTGTCTTCGGAGCTCCGCGGTAACGACGCTTCTGTCTCCTCTGCTCCTGCCGCCACCGAGACCGTTTCGGTCGCAAGGGGCCGTCCTTCCGTGCCATGGCGTACGAGAGCGACATTTCCTGCTTCTGGCGCTCCCGGCAGTTGTCCCGCCACCGCGGAAGCGGCAGCTCTAGCCTCGGCCTCCTCGAGGTCGACCTTCAGGCCGGCTTCCCTGGCTTCCGCCAGCCGCAGCGCTTCGTTTGCGCTGTTCAGCTTCTGCTCGAAGTCCGCGCGTGCGTCGACGGCGGCCCGGGTCAGCTCGGCGGCGAAGCCGTCGGAGATGGACTTCTGATGCAGCAGCTCTGCAAATGCCGCCTTTTTGTTGATGCATATCGGACGATGGGGAAGCTTGCTCGTGTTACTCGAGGTGCACAAGAGCAGTAGGCATGGGAGAAGCAGATAGTGGGGGGGTGCATCACGTTGTTCCAACTATGCCAATACGTGCCAGTGCAGTCAATCATGTCGGATGGGTATAGAAATCGAAAATACGTTCCCTACGGATGAAAAATTTGCTCAACAACAACGACATTTGCACGGCGTTAAGCCACCGTATCACACGCATGAACACCTGAGAATCGTTTTCCTCCTCCTCCTCTTCCGCGGCTAGCCTCAGCTTCTCCAACCGGCCCTCCGTACGCTCCCGGAGCAGATCACCTTCTCGTTTCGACTCAGCGATGGCGTCCTCCAGCTCAGCTATCTTCTGTCTAGCCACCCGTCTTTCGTCCTCGACGGCCTCGGCAGTCACCCTCTCTCGGGCGAGTGCTTGGGCAAGCTGGCGGCGCAGAGTGTCGACCTCCTCTCTGGCCTGGTCCAACGATTGTTTTGCTCCGTGGAGCGTTGCTTCTTGGGCCGCAAATCGTTCGGCAGCCTGCCGGCATCGTTTAAAAACGTCAATAAAATGGGAGGACACTCCAGGATATGATTGGCATCCATCGATGTTGCACCCCAGGCGAGAGGGCTGACTGTGCGTGCTCGTAATTTCTCCACGGACTTTGTGTACAACAACGTGAATACCCCACCGCTCTCGTTCAAAACTTTTCCCACTTGTAAGAACATCATGCGATTTTCAAGCTTGAACCCAGGCACTCTCTGGCATGGGCGATAACAGCGGTGGGGCAAGGATACCTCAGATTATTTTTAGGTCGCCCACAGCATGTTTCACTCCAGGCGAAAGACACTCTCGAATATCCCATCCGCAATCCGTTTCTCCTTTCCCCTTGCCCTACCTGGCACTGGGCCTCATCTAGCCGACTCTCCGGCAGCGCTTGACTTCGTTCCCCCTCCTTGGAGGCTTCTCTTTCTAGCACAGATACCCTGTCGTCTGACGATTCTATCTCTTGCGTCGCAGCGGCGATAGCCGTAGTCCCGGCTTCCTGCGGGCGGCCGAGCTCCGCACACCCCTCCCCGATCTCCGCTGGTGCTGCAAGTGTTTCCGACTTTTGCGGCCTTCGCTCTTGACCCCGGACGCCGTCTTGCGGTACAAGGCCTGACCCTGGCGTATCGGCAACCGAGCAGTCTGCTGCCTTACCTTGCCCATCCTCTTCCTCCGCGGCAGAGCTGCTGGGTTCGCCATAGCCGCAGCCGCTATCGCCACCAGCATGGCTACCCGCGGCAGTAGCCGCCTTGCCCGCCTTTGGCTGTTGTTCGGAAACTTGGGCCTTCTTCGCGGCATCGACCTCGGCCTCAAGTGAAATCAGCCTAGCCTCTGCCGCTTCCAGTGCATCGGTCGCGGCTTCAAGCTTGTGTTCCAGTCCGGAGCGGATAGTTTCTGCCGTGTTGAGGTCTTCTGCGGAACGCTGCTCGATTTCTTCCTTCTCCATAAGCAGGGCCGTTAGCGCGGTCTTGTAAGACGCGAGAAGGATGGCGGGGATTGGCCGCAAAGGAAAAAACGGGCAAAAGAGGAAGTTGTGGTAGAGACGCTTCGGGTCGTTTGGAGAGGTGTTTTGACGGTGATCTTTGGACGCATTGGTGACGTCCCGAGCCCTGGCCTAAGAAGGGGAATAGCCACACATAACACTGCAAGAACATTCGATAATGGATCAATTCACTTCTCTATAAAATACCGAGACAAGCTCATCTGGGAGGGGGTTTCGACGTGCTGGTCCTATCAAAAAAGAGCCGGCAACTCGTCGTATCATTTTGTCACCTATGGAGGTTCTTTTCATAACGAAACCACGGTCTCTGCGCACCTCATCTGCGTCCCTGATGCAGGCGGTGCAGTCCCACATATGAGAGGAACATCCCACACGCTCGTCTCTATAGACGAAATCTTGGCTTGGTTTGAGTGTAAGTGCTTCAAGAATGTATGTTCACCTGTGCCCCGTTCTCCTGGCTTTCTTCCTCAAACGCCGCCCTAAGCGTCTCGAGTCTTTCTTCTACCCCCTTGAGGAAGAGAACGCGCTCCTCTGCCACCCCCTCCAACGTCCCTTCCAGCTCGGCAACCCTCGTTTCCGCTGTCTCCTGCCCTTCTTTCGACCTTGCCGCCGTTTCAGCCGAACGGGCCAACTCCTCCCTGAGAAACGCAACCTCTTCCGTGGCTTCAGCGACAGCCTCCTCGGCGACGCGAAGCTTGTCTCTCGAGTTTTCCAAGCTTCGACCTCGTTCGCCCGCCGCCTCTACAGTTGCCTCTGCTCTCTCCACCGCGGAAGAGATTCCGTTCGCTGCCCTCTCCGCGCGTTCTTCGCGTTCTCTGCGCTCGAGCGTCGCCCGCAGCTGCCCAACCTCCACCTGCGCCCGTTCCCGGGAACGGTCGTGTTCCGCAACGGCTTTCCGAAGGCTCCCCTCGAGCCGGGCAGTCTTGCGCATCGACTCATTGTTTTTCCCCTCAGCCTCCGCCCGGGTTGTTGTGTCCATTACCCGCGCTCGCTCTACCTCCCATCGAAGACTCTCTACGTCTGTCCTAGCGGCTCGCAGTGCCTTCTCGGTAGGTCCAAGGGCCGCCTCGCTCGACGCCGGCCGTTCTGCTGCGGCAATCCTCGTCAACTGGTGGGAAGTTATCTGAGACTCTGCTTCGACGGCGGTGGCGTGCTCGCTGGCCCTGGTCATAGCAGGCTCCGATTGGCCTCGGACTCGGTTGTTCTCGGCAGCCTCAACCTCTCCGTCGGCCTTGTTGAACTCCTGGACTGCCTCTTGCATGGAGTCCCCGGTCCCAACCCGGCTCCCACAGGAGTTTTCATTTTGGCCGGCTTTGTTCTGCTCGCCACTCGATTGATTCTCGCAGCTCTCTAGCGCGGCATGCATCTTCCACGACCTGGTCTCGACAGCGGGGAAAACCTTGGAATTGGTTCCATCAATCATCCAGGCGACCGAATGATTGCCATCAAGGGTGCTAGTCTCTTGTTCCCTGGCGTGGAGAATCTCGTCCGCTTGTTTTCGGAACCGTGCCGTCTCCGAGCGACTTTCGCTTGCGGCGCGACACGCGTCGGCGACCCGCTGCTCCGCCTGTACCTTCTCTTCCAGGAGGACTGCTATTACTGCCTGGGGGGTACGGGAAAGTACACCCCGAGGGTACGGTGAAAGTAGAGAAAATATGAGATCGGTTGACTGTGTGGACGTTCTGGCACACCTGGTGCAGGGCATACTTCGACTGCGGTGTGAGTGCCCTACAGTCTTCAGGGCGCTCAAGCTCGACGAAAACCATTGTGAAGTATTGGAAAATATGCGTCTGGCAATAGCAAAGCCAAGGGACCTCGAGAACTGGCCACAGCTTCCAGTCACACTTCTGAGTCAATACCCATTTCACCAGTAGTACATGGTAAACCTTCGGCGATTGCTCCCTGGACCAGCAAGGCTACGAACTTATACCCCGAACATGATGCCGTACCTGTGCATTGTTCTCCCTCTCCTCTTGATCAAACGCCACCCTGAGGATTTCCAACCTAGCCTCGGCCATATCCTTGTGGCTCTGGAACTTCAGCTTTGTCTCCTCGACGGCGTCCTGCAGTGTGGACATTTTCCTCGCCGATCGGGCCCTTTCCTCCGCCGCCGATGCTACCACCTCCGCGTGCTCGGCTCGAGCGGACTTGAGCTCGTGGCGGAGGCGATCGACCTCGTCCCTCGATTGTCTCGCAGTAATGCCCGCGGTTCGTAGCAGCAGCGCATTCGGCTGCTGCTGTAGCCCCGCTTCTCCTCCCGCTGCTGGGGTTGCTGCCACTTCTGCAGAGCGGCAGCGGTTTGTCCTGCCACCGTCATCGACATGTACACCTCCGGCCGGCCAGGTGACGTAAGTCCTTCCCTCCTCTGACACAGCGGAAGCCGCGGCGGCTGCCTTTGCCGCTGACGCTTCGGCTTCGTGTAGCCGGTTCTCGAGATGAGCCGTTCGTGCCAATAGCTCGGCTTTTTCACCCAGCAAGCATTCCAACGCGGCCTGTTCATCGCACAATAAAGCGTGGGGGTCGAGACGCAAGTCGCGGTCAATGTTTTTGACACAGGTCATGACTAAAAGTACCAGACGCTCGCCAGACCTTTTGGGCGGCGTGGAAGCGGGAAGCTTCTCACGAGTTGTTGAGACACCGAGACGGCCGGGAAAACAAACGTCAGTAGTCATGCAAGTAAGAGGGAAACTGTCAACAGCAAATGTGGAACGCTACGACGTTGCGATGACTCTGACGCGCTCTCCCGCACATGCGCAACGTGCGGTGTATCATTTCACTACCATTACGTGACAACCCCCCTTCCAAGAGTTCGCTCCCAACCCCCCCCCTTATCTTTAACCTCGCTTCCTCATTCTGGAATGCCGGGAAAGTCTGTTCCTCCGTGTGTCTACCAACTTCGCGCCACGTGCATAAATAGGTATTCAAAATACGCCTATGCTGCCTATTGCATATTCGTCATGTGTGTCACCTTCCCGCCAGCCTCCGCCTCCTCTTGTTCGAAGGCCGCCCTCAACGACTGGAGCCTCGACTCAGACCGCAGGCGCATGCGCTTCTGCTCCTTTGCCGCGCCTTCGAGCTGCCTTTCCAGATCAGCTATCTTGGTCTGGGCCAGGCGTCCACCTTCCGCCTCGACCCTCTCCGCTGCCCGCGCGCCGTCCAGCTGTCTCCCCAGAAGCTCGGACTCCTCCATGGCAACCGGGGATAGTTCTCTGGCTTCTTGAAGCGCGTGCTCGAACGAGGTCATCCGTTCTCCTGCTTCGGTGAGGCGGAGTACTGGTGATGGTGATGTTGTAATGCCGAGCTCCATTCTGATGATATCTTCCGCGCCAGTCGCCGCTGAGGAGGCGGCGAGGCCCGGCACGATGCTCGCGGTAGCTCTGCCCTTTGCAGCCGAGTGTACTGGTCGGTGATCCGCTTTGAGCCGGACAAGGGGAGCAGAGAGGCAAGATTCACTAGTGGTATCGACTGCGTCTGAGCCCAGCTCTGCCGCGGTTTCCGACATTTTTTCGTCCTGGAGATGACTTCTGCCAGGGTTGGCAATGCGAGGTGGTTCCTCGATGCCCATGGTGAGATGGTCGAATTCGGACTGAGCAGCTTGGGCAATCATGTCGTTGAGGTGGCGCTCCAGTTCATTCGCACGACTCTCTGCTCGCAGCTTCTCCTCCAGTAGGGTTGCTAAGGCGATCTAAATGGATATGGGTTCGTTTGGGGTTCGTAGGAGTTTGTAGCCAGGCAAAGGCAAGCAACGAGGGGGGCAGGTGAGACGGGCAGGCGTGAGCTAGCTTCCCCATATTTTTCTGACTTCTCCAGGAGACTTGTTGTAAGAAAACGTTTGGTGATCGACGTCCTGCCCGCACGTTGGAGACGTATGGAACATCAAGGCAATGACAAGGGGTGCAACATGTTGTGCTCCGCCAGTTCAACCCTTCCACATACGAAAAACGAAGTTGTTTCGGGAGTCACCGCACGAACGTAACGTGTAACAGATCAGGCGGCGTGTCCCAAAGCAGGAAGGGTACCGCAGTCAACCATAGGGCTGCCCTACTACCCACTGCTGCTGTCTCTCACTTGCGCTCCTCCTTCTTCTTGCTCTTGGGCAAAGGCAAGCTTCAAGACCTCAAGCCTAGACTCCGCCCTGGCCCGGAACAAGGAATGCTGCTTTTCTGACACCGAGAGAACCTCCTCGAGCTCTCTCACTCTATCCTCGGCCGCTCGCCGGCACCCGGTTGCCGTTGCCGCGGCCGCCACCACTTCTCCAGGATCTCGGTTAGGTGCACGGACCTTCGCTCGCGTTCTCGGAGGTAGAACTTCCGCGAGCCGCACGTTTGCCGCATGGTGAAGCTGTGGCTGTTGCAAGAGCTCTTCCGCATCGGCGATCCATGTCCGTCCTTGCTCGTCGGTCCTGGCTAATACGCACTTGCCGTCCTCCTCCGGACAAAACCCAGCCGGGTCATCGTTGAACACGCCTTGCCCGTCTGGTTGAGTGCTATTTTTGTTCTTGACTGCAATGGTGGTGTCAGCTTGATTGCCACTGCTGGGACCTCTCGTGACCTGAACATATTGGTGAGTGGTGGCGCCTTTCTCTGTTGCATAGCCCGAAAGGCATTGTCCAACTGCTTCCTGCTGCTGCTCTTGGTGATGCGGCGAAAATGGCTTCGTGTCTCGTTTGTTGACGACGCGTGCCTTCATGTCCGCCTCATTGCTGCCTCCGGTTGCCGACACCCGCGCGTTGATGCCAGACCTTCCATTCGCCGGGAAATCATCCATTTGCCCGTTCTGAGCCGAACTTAGGGCACATTGCAATGCACGTAGCTGGGACGTTAAACGGCGCGTGTTTTGGAAGAAAGGTAGGTGTTTATTGAGCTGAAGAATGGAAGATGTTGAAAGATGAAAGGTTGACGGGTGATAGACGTGGCGGTCACGGAGACAATATCACTTCCTCGTCCACCTCGGTGTCCTCGTGTCGATACTTGTTCTATCGAAGCGTGGAGCGTGCTACCCTATCGCGATGGCCGTACACTTGGGACATAAAAAAACACGGACTCCTCCACAAATTGAGAAAGAAAAGACGGCCCACAGGCTCAGCCCGCTCAATCGTTCAAACCTTGACAGGGACCCACGTCGTATCACCTGTTCTTCCGTGGCTCTCAACTCGCGCCCCAACCGCTCGCACTCCATCTCCGCTCGTTCCTTACCAATCTCAGCCTCAGCCGCCGCTCGTGCGGCCTCGACTTTTGCTCTGTCTGCGTCGGCTCTGAACGCGGCGGCTTCTCGCTCGGCATCCGCTACTCGCAGTCTAGCAGCCTTGACCTCGCGAAGGCTGCTCGTGGTGGCGTTTTCATCGTCTGAACTCGCTACTCCGAGCACTTCCGATGGGGCGTTGTTGGAAGTGCTTATCTTTTCCTGCAAGGCCCCTATTTCTTTGTCGTTCCGTTGCCTTTGTTTTTCACCGACAATGCTGGCACGGCGTCTTGCCGTTCGCAGACGAGCGTCGGTGCTCGAGGGCACTTCCCCGACACGTCGCACCCAACCCGCGGAGTGCCGTACCCCATCAGGCGCGGTCACTCCTGTACCGTCAAAAGCTTGGCTGTAGAAGCGCTCTTCTGAGCACCTGCTCAGGCGGCGACGCCCCGTTCTACTACGCGGTCCCGCCGAAACTACATTAACATGCGGATCTCTGCGCCTGTAACCTCCCGTTGCGCTCTCGTGTTGCCTGGCGTCTCTCAACTTCACTCCCTCCACCTCCAAATTGCTTTCGGCCTCCTTTACAGGCTTGGCTCCCGCAACCGCTGCCCGCTCGGCCTCTCGCAGCCGGCGTTCGCTCCGCGTCAAGTGCCGCAGCACTGATTCCAACCTCGCCTCCGCTGCCGACGCTCGAAACTCCGCGGAGGACAAGCGGTCAGCGGCGATGGCATCAGCCTGGCGAGATGCCTCGGCACGCCGGCGATGTTCGCTGGTCACGCGCGCGAGCTTGGCCTGGAGCTCAGCTACGCGAGTCTGGGCCGTCGCTTTTTCGATGGCTACGGATGCGAGACTGGCCTGCGTCGTCGCGCCGACAAACGACGAGGAGGGAAAGGCACAACCAAGGAAAGCCAACATCCAGGAAAGGCACTGTCAATCACAACGCTTGATTGACAAGCGCGGGTAGCTGAAGGCGTAGTACTTTCTGAGTGAACAAAAATGGTTGGGAAAAAATGGGTACCGGAGCTGGCCTCACCTGAAGCCCGGAAACATCCGCCTGGTCCAGCCGCTGCTGAAGGGCGAAAGCACTTGCCCTAGAGGTCAGCGCATCGCCTCTCGCCTTGACCAACGCCGCGCTGAACTCCCGCGTTTGTTCTTGCCCGCCGCTTCGCTTTCCCACGAGACCCTTCTGCGCCTGCGTTGTCGCAAAGGTGATCCAACAGAGCAAGATCCATAGTGTATACGAAGTCGTTGGCGGACGTGCCGACACGGGGATGGGGTTGCTGCTCTCAATCCTGTGCAGAAAACCTCGACAGCTCCATGCAATAACACCTCCTCAACCCTACATCACCTGGTCTCGCTTTCTCTCCGGCAGCGACGAGTTTTGCCCTCTTCCCTGCCTCAGTGCGCGCATCCTTCCAGCTTCCGCCGTTGCTGCTTCCGCAGACGCCACTGCCTCCGCCGCCTTGGCCTCGACAGCTCTCTTCTCCTCCAGTAGGGCGGCGAGGGCGGCCTTGGGGCCGTTATCAAGGCTCTCCATCAGCATGTCGTGAGTTTCTTTCAGCGACTCGCGGGCTTTAGACAAGGCAGCCTCGGCGACGGCGCGGGCGGCGCGCTCGCGGTCGGCCCCGTTCTGCGCGATTTCCACCTCTCGTCTGTAAGGATGCATGATTGTGCGGGATGACGCCGTTCGGCTGTGATAATGTTTTTCGCGTGGGAGAACTGGTTACTTGGATGCAGTGTTTTGCCAGGTTGTATTTGTGCTTTCATGTCAAACCTTCGCTACTTGCTGTTTGCCCACGAGAAAACACCGTAACAATAAAAAAACCCTCAGTGACACTACCCAACATGTCGTGTATGAAATTGGCACGTACTACCTGTGCTCATTCTGTGAACAGATTGGTGTCCAAGTACATCCCCCAAGTCCCAATGATCTGATTTTATGGTGTGTGTTGAAGAAATCCCGCACGTGCAGTGTTCCTTTGCTCTAAACGCACCGTGCTTGTGCTTCAGCATGGGCCAAAGCCTCCATGATATCCCGCAGATTGTCTCCCTCTCGAAGGCCATCAGCCTTGACGTCTCGTGTCAAACATTCCTGGAGAGCGCAGCCTCCAGCACGCCCGGCTTCTGTTGCTCTTGCAGGCCGGTGCTGCGAGTGTCAACGTACGGAATTTCGGCAAGTGGTGGGCTCGGCACTCGACGGGGAATGCTGAGCGCATCAGGTGCACTTCTGCAAAACATTGCACGTAGCGAGGCAACCGCCGTAGCTCAATGGCCGAATGCTGTTCGCTTCGCTGATGCGATTACTGTGCGATGCAGGCGATTGGGCGTGAAATATTCACCGAACCTGTGGTGCCACATCGTTCAAAAAAAAGTTACTGGGAAACGCGTGTACAAGCAAGCGACCCCGGTGGCTTCTCACCCACCAAAGACTTACCCGGCCGTGCATCGCCTGTCTTCTGCTACCCTACTGAACGTTAGGTCCCCGTCGTCTCTTGGCTCGAGCGATCAGCTCTACTTCTGGGTTAGCTCGTCTCGCTCGTGTTGCTTCTCCTACAAGCGGGAAAATGCCCGTATTTCACCTCATGAACCTCGCCCCGTCCTCCGTAGTCAGCGATGCTGGTCGCAGTGCCTTTGCCTGCCTCGTGCATGCTCCTTGCTCGGTTGCCACCGTGCGATGCCACAGCAGAAGCAGTCGCAGCGTTGGGCAACCCCGACCATGGCAGCGACTCTTCCACTGCTAGCCGCCGGGTCGACTCCTGCTGCGGTCTTGCAAGGTGAGACGGAGACGGAAGTGCTGTTGAGCTGGGATGCACCACTGCGTCACACCACCTCGTTCCATCTGCATACCACTGGTTGGGGTTGGTAGCTTCGTCTCTGCTGCCATCGTCCTCACGTCGAGGAATCAGATACGTTTGTCGAGGACTGGACGAGCGGGACCATGCCTGTAGTCGATGGCGCCCACTTCTATCCCCCGGCCTACCATCCCGTCGGCGTCCGCCTTCACCACCACCACCAGGACGAGGGTTTAGCTCCTGACACCGTGCGGTTACGCGTGCTTTGCTCCTATACCAAGTAGAAGGTTGCATTCGTGAGGACATGTGGAAGATTGTGTGCCATGAGTTGCCCTTACTTCGCGCCGTCCGGGCCCATACGCGAAAGTAGAATCTAAGAAAGCGAGGCTGAAATTCGACAGAAACCACGAAATCCTCGAGCGTCAGCTCAGAATTCCGCACGTGGTTATGTGCAATAGAGTCATGCAAGGTTTTCACTCCACATAGGAAACCCAGCTCAGCCCCGAAATGTGCTTTATCATGGTCAGGCCGATATGTTAGTGTGCACGTTTCCACAAATATTCCGCTCTACCGTGAGAAGAAAGCAGGAAACCAGCGCAGGATGCACGCGACGGAGGTAAATCGGAGCAGTGGAGCAAGCCTCAGAACACCAGCATCTTTTGAATTGAGTGTCTTTCGCCGATGACTTCAACTTAGCCACATGCACTGCAGCTGATTTCTGCGCACTTGTTTTTCGCCAAACCTACTAGTCTTTGGTTTATGTCGTTTTATTTTGTTTTGTTTTTTTTACTGGCACGTACTGCTGACCCTTGGGGTCCTTCCGGAAGGCTACCCCGCAGGCTGGTGGTGCGCACGTTCCACTATTTAGTTATATATTTGTTTCTGATTCTTTTGTTTTCTTGTATTTTATCGCTCTGCTAACCCTTGGGGTCCTTCCGGAAGGCTACCCCGCAGGCTGGTGGTGCGCACGTTCCACTATTTAGTTATATATTTGTTTCTGATTCTTTTGTTTTCTTGTATTTTATCGCTCTGCTAACCCTTGGGGTCCATTTTATTTTGGTATACCTTTTCTAGGTACTTTAGCCTGTGACCACGGAAATTGACCGAGTCAAGTGCTGGATTAGTACGGAGAGATTGAGACAAAAGGAGGTACTCGATAGAGAGACCGGGATGGTTTTTAATGTGAAGACAACAACTAGACGGTATGCATATCCACACGGACACTCTGTCATTCTCACGGTCCCGCTTGTCTCAGGATTCCCGACCGACTGTCGGTCCCAAATGTGTTCCTACCTTGTAGCCTCACGGTTTACTGCCTGTGTCTTCCTCCAGGCCGACTGCGACCGCCCCAGTCTCAATATATCAAAGGGTGGTTCCTCTAGGTCTAGAACACGGGAAGAACCATCGGATCCTTTGAAGTAGGTGTCTCGGGACAGTGGGGAAAACCCAACATCTAGTGCGCTGCCGCCACTTCCGACGCGGGAGGCGGTCCACCTATTCTTGGTAGTAGTAGCTTTCTGACGATGACCAAGTTGTACTGGTTCGCCGCCCATAAGACTGCTGTGCTTCGTCGGCCCAATAGTAGAATATGTGCGCCCTGAGGTATGCCTGTTGTTGTGGTGGCTCTGTCGCCTCACTGACGTCAGGTCGTATCCAGGCATGCCATGAAGGCGACTGGACCTATGGCCTCGTGGTATCGGGGCTGCTTTCTCGTTCGCCTTGTTAATGCCTCTCATCCCACGATTTTGCAGCAATCTTTTCCTGCGCGCTGTAGGTCTCTACCCGTTTCCATGGCTGGAAAGATCCAGGGATCCGTCATCGAAACGCGGTCCCTCTTTCACCTCCACCTACTTACATGTCCATCGTCCCGTAGAGTTATCACGAGTTCTCGGAACGCACATGATCAAGTGTAGCGACACCATCGCTACATGCCACCCTCCTTATACCCTAAGTGCGCATGGCATGCCCCCTTCACTGGTGTTGGAGAACACAGCAGATTGATATGCTTACTTGATGGTGAGATGCGGGCGGATCTCCACGTATCTCGCCGCACCTCTTGTTCCTGTTCGTCGGAAACGGCCAAAATATAGTTATTATCCGATTCTTCGTCTTCATCGCGCGGCCCGACACCGGATATCCACCAGATGGCGCCAAACTGTCTTGTTGAACCTGCTACCGTACGAAGGATGCCACTGCATGTTTGTCGTGAAAGAGTAGTAGAAACTCGGATAGGTCAGATAACACCACCAACTCACCGCCATGCCGGTCAGCACGTTCCTCCTATCGGTAGATGTGCATGATCATTAATTTTTTCGTGAGACGTATGTACATGCTGCTGTATAGACTACGTGGCGTGTTAAAAGTTCGAGTTGTTTGTCGACATGTAAACGGGCAGAGAGAGGGCGTGCATGTACAACGGAAAATGCACAACGAACTTCATTCAGCCGCTCTCTACCCTCCTGCAACCGTCTTCAGCAGTCCGCCTCCCCGCGAAGATACTCACACCTGATCCGCAATCCCCCTAGACGAATCTTCAGGGCAAGGCAGACTCATCATGATAAACCCTTTCATCCCAGGCGTAGCGGTGGTGGCTCTCGCCAAGGCAACATCTGCAGATGCGAGCTTCTCAAACGTCAAGATCTCCCAATTTCAGCAAGCGGGCCTAGATCTGTCCTTCCTGGTATCTTGGGACACCGCAGACACCACCACTGAGAATCCGGCTTCCGGATCGGGGTTGGTCGATGTTTGGCTCGAGACCAGACAGACGGAGGCATCTTCCATCGTCAAGACCGTCCTCCAGCAGGTAATTGTTAATTGCTATGGCAGGACAACGTGAGATACACGGACGGCTTTGACAGAAGTTGCACTGCAATGGCTGGATCTTCATGACTCATTATTCAGATTGTTATGGTCAGACGCCAGGAAGCAGCACGCTCTCTGTCTGCGCCGTCTAACGTGCGAAGTACCAGTCAGTGTACGCATACGAAATGACGAAATGACGGTAGTGTCCATGTACTGTGGGTGCCCAGGTCGTCTTCTCCAAACAACATATGTCCGTTCACCCTTGACACACCAAAGTACTTGCCCAGCAAATTGACCCCCTGAGTGCGCTGTACATGGTGTATGATTGGGTCGTTGGGGAGGATAATGTATAAGGTTGCGGCACGCACCGTGCGGTAGGCTCCAGTTCCTCCGATATGAAGTGCGGCCTGTTGAGCGAGCCCGATTTGTCGAACACTCTTCCTTGTTAGCCCTCCTGGTAGTTGTACAAATTGTATCAGCTTGAGTCCAGCTGGGCGGGAAAGTGCACTGCGGAAGCAGATTTGCCACCACCACCAAGTGCGGCTCACGAACACGTGTGTGCCGGCCAACGACATCAATGGCACCCAAAAGCTCAGCTTCTCCACGGCTTCAACAATGGTGAAAATTCCCCTGCTCTAGAGCTCTCCCCGGAGGCAGTCATTCAACTTCTAAGACTCCTCGTAAATTTATTTCGTTTCTGAACCCACAGGGTGTCGAAAACACCGGTTCGATGTGGGTGGACGCGGGTGATTCTTGGGCGATTCGTTCATCTTGGGACGGCACCATCAGTGGGGAGGCAATCGTTTGTGTGAACGACTCCGACGACCTCTTCGACAACGCCTGCAGTGAGGTGCGGGCAGAGAACCACGCACGGAAAACAACTTCATCAATGACAGACACGCTAACAAAAAATCCGTTAATGCAAGGGTGCCCGTCAAAGGTCATCCCACACAACTACATACACTGTAGATACCCATGGACCGACTCATCGAATACCACGGCGCTTCGCACTTGGTGATGTGCTAGACTGGTCCGGTGAAAGCCCGGCGTACTCCGTCCCGACTTTATAGAGATGCGACGTCAATGGTCTTCTTAGTACGGCATGCACGGTCTGAGCACACCCCACCCACCCCATCCCCGGAACGGCCTGAAAAAATGTTGTTGGCTTTGTCCTTTCTTGAGTATTACTCACTTTACGCAAGCCGGTTACTTGGGACGCATGGTTTGCTACTAGTGACGACGTTTCACGCATAAATTGAGGGGGACAGGTGCTCTCTTGATGCGCTATATATGTATCTTTCGTGTGATCATGGAATGGTGGGTCACAAGAGAGCACCCTAGCCTAAACCTAGGGTGTGTGTGTCTTTTATTATTAGCATCGACCGCGCTAACCGGCTGACCAATGAAAAGACGTCAGT